TATAGTTATCTATTATGATAGCTTGAGAAAACGAACTAAAAGTTTACATTTCCGGTTGAAAACTTCTAGGTAGTTGACGGCGATGCATCCGTGATACCTAACGTAAATGCTAGAAAAGAATTATCTCAAAAAGGTAGCGAAGTAATGGATTTAGCATATTTACCCATTTCATTAATATTATATTGAACAATACCTAGATGGACTATCGGTTGCGATGTTGGCGGTTGAATCAAAGCCTTTTACTGATCAGTTTGATTCTGAAATGGAGAGTGGTTCCACTGTACAAGTTATATCTGTCGATTCGCTTAATCAAGAGAAGCAATCGTTACAAGATGTAAATGTTTTGCAAGTCTCTTACTTAACGCTACTGAGGTTATTAGACTTAATATTGATATTTTTATAACACTCAGATGGAAGCCTTCGCGCAAGAAAACAGAGATTTACAAGAGCAACTGGATGAGCGTAATAAGGTATGCTAGTTACAGTGCTTTAACGCGACTATTATTGTTATAGTAACGCCAGTGATTAATCCGTACTTGGCTCTTATTCTTGCATACATGTCTACATTCGTCACATGATATAGACAATCAAAATGCAATCACAAAGATTAAATGATTTAAAAAAGGCGTTACAAAAGGCACTAGTGAGTATTTATAGTAGTTTATGAAAATATAGAAATAGTAGATAACATGTATACACAGTAATTGCACTTCTTAACTGTACTAAATTCTAGAAGCAACAAAAAGCGAATGCCAGCGTGAGTGCGAGCGCGAACGCGAACGCAAACGCGGAAGAGAATGACCCTTTTTCTCCGGATAGTAGAAATTTTAGTTCTGATAATTTAAGTCTTCATAATTACAGTGAAAATGCTTCATCTAAATTCAAGTCAGCGCCCAGTCTACTCGATAGTGGCTCTCAGCAAAATCTTGAAACAAATTTTGAGTACCTGAAAAATGTAGTTTATAAATTCATGTCCAGCTCAGATTCGGAGGTGAATTTACTATGTGCTCTGTTGGTTCCATTTTTCTCTCTTTAATTAATATGCAAAATTTAATTTTATTAAAGGCCCAACATCTTGTGAAGGTTATCGCGACATTACTAAAGTTTAACAAGACTGAAGTTACAACCGTTAAACGAATGATGGAATACAAGGTAACAGTACTCAGATAATTGGCTTTGCTTTATGACTTAATGATTACGAATGCTTGAATTAAAATAAAAGCCCTTTTGCGATAACTGTAAAATGTTCTGCTTTAATTTACTATGCTGTATAGATGTCGTGGTTTCGACCGAAACCTTCATCCTCTCTACATCAAGTTTCAATGAATTCATCCCGTATTTAGTCTTCATTTAATTATTTGAATCCGTCTTGTATAAACTCACAGGCAATGAGTCAAATTGTCAAGTGCGTTTAACAATTTTTTATATAAATATATCTGATTGTCATGTAAGGAAAATGAATTTAAAGACGTTCAATCAGTATGATATATGGGGCTCCGTTGTGATAGCCTCTTACTTGTACAGTATATACGTAACTGGAATTAACTTTAACGTAATCATAACATTAAATTGTAGATTGACGATTTAAGGCAATGTTATTGGTTACGTACTGTTCAATCCTTGATATGATATTTGCATATAAAATACATTGAAATTGATTATAACCTATTGTTTTATTTCATTGACATTGCTAAGCAATTTTTCTGATGGTTGTTTGTATAAGTATATTGGTGTGTTAATTTGCTTTACAACAGGGCTTTTGACTATTGATCATAGGATTGATCTGCTGGCATTAGTATGCGATGTTTCTTTGCGCCTACGACTGTAAGATATTGAGGGTTGTATATATGAAAGGATATTGTTTTGTCCATAATCTATTCGCTATGATATTAAAACTAAATGTATGGTATATCAGACCTTATTATCTGTACAGGTTATGTGGTTGTACAGCTCTGGAAAATGTTATTATTGATTTTGTTAGTGCAGTACAGTAGTAGAAGATTAATTTATAATTGCTCGTAAAGCATATGCTATTTTAAGCATATTAAAGTAATTAATGCTGCGCTGTTCTATGATTCTAGAATACTTGATTTTTATTTAATCGGCTGCATTGCAGTAAAAGTGAATCGATTTAAGTTCTTCATGAGAAGTTTATAACTCTTAGAATACTTTTTTATTCATCAAATAAACGGAATATATACTTTCCCTATGACTGCAAGTTTGCAAATGTGAGAGAGAGATTGAAGTACACCTTGACTTGTTATTGGTGAAAAGAATTTTGTAACTGCCATAGAAAACTAGGGTCTGCTTATAGCAAATAATAAACTTTCTACTTATTAGACGCTAGGAAATAATACTGTAACTTGAGGTAGCTTCCTGCTAAGCTTCGTAATGATTCTTCTACATACTGTTTAACTGTAATCAGTTATTAGATAATGTAAAATAATGATTTAAGTAATTAACTGTAGTTATGCATAACATGTCACTTACTTTCATCAGAAACCTATAGTAAAATTTATATCATGCTGTAAATACTATGAAAAGTAATTGCGTACTGTAGAATGATTAATTTCACGTTATTTCTATATGAATTCACACATAAATTAATAATATTTACCCTAATTTAAATTAGAAGTAAAGATAATGTTAATATGTTTAACTCTAAATCGGAATCTTTGATATTGCCGCAATGTCTACTACTTATTGACACTTGTTATGCACTCTTGTATTTATCCATTTCCAGAAAATTATCCACTGAAGGCATAATTAATATATGTTATTATATTATTACCGTATTTATAGTAGACTTTTTTTCACAACGATCATGTATTAAAAAATAGATCAGAGTTACTTTCGCAATATGCACACATCATCATGGCAAGGCTAGATAGCTGTACGGTATATACTGTTTCAAAATACGCCATTTATAAAATACTACATTTCAAGAGATAAAGTTATCATCACAATTTAAATATTATTAATCTACATTATAGTATATATGACTAATGAATAATTGTGATAAGTAGAAACTGTGGAATGTACCGTAAGAACTATTTAGATCGCTATGATTCTATACCATAGCTAATAGATCCTATTTATATGTTACGAATTCAATTTATTAACCTAGTAGATGAATTTATACTATTTATGACTATGATTACTAGATTCATTACATTGGGGACATTTTGACGTAAACCGTATGATATTGAACACTTATACTGTAAGTCTATATATTTAAATGAGTAAATTTACTTCATCAGTTGATGAATTTCCTATCATTTTATATTATGGATCAGACTTTATTGCCTCAGGCAAGTGGTAGTTATCTCGATTATCGCAACAGGTTGCTAACGAACGAATCTTTACCAGAAATTCTTGTCTAAAGCTGTAGAAAGTAGCAGAATCTGTAAATTTCGCTATTCTTTGTGCTACTGATGATTATAAATATCACATCGGACTGATTTTTTGGTATATAAATGGGAAATTATTTCCGTACATATCATTTTACATCTTTTCGTGTGGTAATGTAATACAAACACGAATGTAATCAAATTTTACTAATTCGATATGCCTGTAATAGACCGGAGACTTCGAATACTACAACGACTCAGATTGCCTAAGGGCATACTTGCTGTAACATACATCATTGTCTATTCCTGTGTAGAAGCATTCTATAACATAAAAGTAACAAGCCTATCCCTTTAACGTAAATGAACTGGTGATCCCAACTGTGAAAGTCTAGAATGTTTTGTAGACAGTATCCACGTCTATCAATTGCAGGCGTTGATAGGATATAGATTGAAGGAATTTGTGATATAAAAAATGATCTATTTATCATCCTTGTAGTATAACTACGTTAACTATAGACTTGTTGATTAATTATTGGAAAAATAGATGTAGCAAGGTTTGATAGATAGACTGCATAAACCTCTATATGGGTAATAATGATGTAAAATGATATCGATTAATATATGTGTATAATATCCATATATTCTTTAGCTAAAAGGATACTGTATACTAGCAAAGTCAAAATGGACAAACTCATTGAGAATTAATTAATGAATTAATTACTAACCAACATCTTAAAGGGGAAAGCTACTACCGATGCTATCTAATCTTATTTACTGAAATATTTCATAATCTTCAAAGTAAACCATCTTTCCATGACAATGCCCCTATTGAAATTAAAGTATACAAAGTAGAAAAATAAACGCTAAAAATATTACATAACAATAGTTAGGCTTGGCCGGAATGATAGACTACTATTGTTCTGTTATAGTGTACAAGAACGCATAAACTTTAGCGAAGATGCCATGTCCGGATAATAGAAATAGCGTTATGTAATTACTAAGTCAATCCTATTTTCTTTTATCACGCACTACAAGATAATCGTATAAGAAATCAGTAAATGAACTGGATTTGACTACTTCTTAATTTCAGTTTAGCTATTGTCATCATTTTTAAAAACAATATTGTGGGAACGTTATCCAAATCCAGAGTCTAACGATACTGTCCTAGAGCTAGATCGTTTTAATGATAGTATTAATGGTTTATTAATCGAGCAGTAATCTAGCGATTTTGTTAGTAGTTCTAGAGCTGTAAATACCGAAGCAACTAAGAAAGCTTCCATCAAGCCGTAAGTATCGCATTCTCGGTCATCTATTTGATCTTATTCCATGACTGTAATCTAGGAAATGAATTAGTTCTATCAAGAAAAGTTAGCTATTGTGCTTTTTAAAATGATGCTTTGATTTCGTGGCTATTCTTTCTATTATTTTAAATACTAGATGCTAATTTCATCTCTTGCTATAGGCACAGATCTGATTAATTACCAATTAATCGAAGAGAATCGCCATTTTTTTTCTTGCTGTTGCAGGGATGTCATGGTTGACTATTGATTACTAGAGTAAACTGCATGCATCATAGCAAATGAAATATTGAGTTTAGCCAACTGTGTTCTAAAATCTTCTAAATTACCCTTCTATAATCATATTATTTTCATGGCCACTTCTAAAAAAGAACTTGCTTTTGATAAAGAAGCAAATAAGAACTTATCAAAGACTAAGGCAGAGTTAACTGGAATTAACAAGAATAAAGGAGAGGAAATACGCTTGAGAAGGAATTTAGATGTTCTTGAAAAAGAAAAACGCGCCAATTTTAGCATTAGTAAATCACAGGAACTAGCTATGAAAACAAAATTAGAAAAATTTAAAAAATTAAAAAACAAGATATCTAACAAGACTGCCTCTCCGGAATCAGACAGTGATGAGGATATCGAGATGCTACCAAATTATGGTGAACGGAGAAGATCAACTGTTTCCACAAGACCCAGTTCTGCAATCTATGGCAATAACGTAATTATGCCTTCTACTAGTGCTGGACAAGTAAAGGACGCTAAATATGATATGTATGGTAGAAGGAATACTTGTACTTCATTGGGCATTAAACCCGACAAGCTCAAAGAATTAGCTGGTAGAACTTCTGGTAGTTCTAGTAGAGAGCAATCACCGAGTAGATACAGACCGTCATCTGGGTCTGGTATGAAGAGATCGGTAACTGATACAAGGATTGGTAAACTTGATGATTAACATGTTAATCCCTGCCGTTATTCCAGAGAAATTATCGCTGGTGGGAAGTTTACTAAGAAGTAACACATAATATACTCTGCTAGCTGGTTGATTAGTTGGATGAAAATACTTAAATTTCGTAGGTTATTCTGCATTTTATCCATAATACTGCAGATACACAGTATCCATTTACTGTTGTCAAACATACAGATATTCATCAAAGTGAGCTAAAAAAAATTCTGAAGTTCACTTTGACAGGGTTATTTGAATATAAACATGATATACAGCTTTCTTAGTCTAAGAAGATATGATTTATCGTATGCATTATATTCTAGCGGCTTGATAGTGTCTGTAAATTATTTGCATTCTCGGTCTAGTTATTCTATTATTTTATGAATAACATTTAGATTGTTGTATTGTTAAATCAGCGTAGTAATTCGGTCATGTACAGTATATGTAATGAAATGTGAGTTTAAAATTGCATTTCTTGAGACTTCAGCAGACATACAAAGGTGTTTAATTATTATTGGATAATTATAATTTATAACATTTCAAATTCGTCATTAGCGATAGGCCTGAATGGGATCTAGATGTGCTATTTGATCCTTTAAAGTGAAATTCAAACCATTTCAAATTATTTTCTATATAGATACTGTATTGATTATCAAACATTGCAGGTCTATCGTGCTGGCCATATAATTTTTTTTAACCGAGCAGCTATAGAAATTCAATTATATATTTAGCGAGTAAAACAGCATACTCAAAACTGTTAATGTTTAGAGCCAATAGTGCATTTTAACTCAATCTTATGTTAACAGAGAGTGGGATATTAATCCAGTAAAGAGCTTTACATCCTAAAAAAGCGCAGAAATACTGAAACCATCATAATCTGATCGATTGTTTATTGTACAGTGTTTGCTAATATGTGATGGCTACAAAAAACGGATTTGCGTCCCTTGGCTATCATCACAATCGGATGTTTTTATCTCTAATGTCACAAGAGTGATATTATTACCATGAGGGATTAATTTACTTATTACTTTGGTAATAAGATGCAGATTCTTTATTGAATTGAATTACTTCAAATTTAACTTAGCGGATCAAGAGATGTTATGGAGTTGGTGTCAATACTGATGATTATTTCAGGACCAATAAAAAACATTCAAAATTTTTAGGATTAAATATTGAAAGATTTCTTTATTTTTGAACAGACAGCATTCTTATCGATTAATACATTATTAAGATTTGGAAAGACATTGTTGTAGTATACACATAATACATACAAAAACAGTATTCATTGTCACATTACCAATGCCTAATTTAACTAGCATAACTTACAGATAAAAAGTAATGCAATGAAGTTGAACACAGCATAACGTATAACTTTAACATTACATTAAATTACGAAAAGGTCAACCTAGAAAGAAGAAGCTCAATAATGCATTTAAGACGTATCCATGGCCTCTACTCTCGTTGTCACGTCTACGTTTGATAATGTCAGTTGTTTTTCTCCAAGAACACCTACAAAGAGAATTTGTTGATAGCAGTTGTTACGCACAGATGCGATTTAAATTCTAAATACTCAGTTCATGTATACAAACCTGTAGTTCCTCTCTTATAACGATATTTTCCTTGCCTATACACATTAAAAATATTCCCAATTATTTATAACAATTCAAAAACCCATTCAACTGAAAGTATTACTTTAAGCATACCTGACGCCTTTTATGTTTGCTTCATCAAACGGGCGAATATAATCGGTCCCGTCTTTTGTTATTACGCAGAGATCAACATTACTTCCCGAACCCTATTGATAATTTAGAAACATACAATTTGCATCAAACTTGGTAGCAGAAGTCAATCCATCCAGTGAATATCGTAAATTAAAAATTACCAAATCATTAAAAATTCCAGCTGCAATTGCATCCCTAACTAGCTGCTTTGCTTCGTCTAACTGTTCAACATACTTTATGTTAGTATTGCAAAGACATCGTTAGCGGAAAATAGTAGGACTCTATTACCTCCATATTAACATGGTATCTATCTTCGAACACTGCCATAGCAGCAAGAGATCCAGAACCTAGCAAAATAAATTTAAATTCCCAAATCAACGTTCAAATAGTTGAAAGGTTTTCAATTTCTTGAATTAGCATCATTAATAAACTAACCCATAGTTACGTAAGGCAGTTTATCACTACTACCACGAGCATGAACTGTATACAAATGCGGGCCTGTAGAATCAACGCCACCAAGAACTAGGTAGGCACCAACATAACCTTGATATCTATGTCGATTATACAAGAAAAGCGATGACTGACCATGTTCATGAGAAGTGATATAATCATACGATGAAATAGAATATTGTTGCAGACTATGTAAATCATCCCAAATTTGTAAATTCTTAAATCATTGCCAGCTATACCTAAACAACATTTGCTTCAGCATCGTCAAAGCCGCTACAACACGAGGCTGGAGGATAAAGAATATAAGTAAACGTTATAGTTAACGTGAATTAGAAATAAATATCTATAACCAAGTGATCATTTTAGTGTGCCTGCAAGGAACCGTTTGATTAGGTAAGTAATACAAATTCCACGTTCAGACTTACTTTTCTTTCGGTCGTTAGGCTGTGTAGTTCAATCTTAGACGAGATCAAACGTGTGACATACTCAGTATCAGCTGCAGTACCTGCGCCACAGCAGCTAGGTAATGAAACAGAAATCAGATTACTTATCTCAAATTATATGGTAAATAGTCAATGGTTCAAGTCATTAGCATCTTGTGTAAGAGGGTACTTACTACATGTTTGGTGAAATATAGTGGATTTTACTGCAGTTTTTGTCAGCAATAAATGTTCCCTGTTAATATAAACATGATTAACCGTTACAAATGTACATCGAGTCATCTCATGAGCCATCCAATTATTACTGGTAATCCAAATGGTGTGGATATTCCACTAGCGAATAGAGAAACAACTTACTTCACTTGCTCTCGTATCCGCTCCAAGGATAATCCCATCCTAATCCATGTGAAGGAAAAAAAAGACATGTAGTGGTTGTATTAACCTGTCTATATTGTCCGGTATCATACTCAAGAAAATCATATTCACTGTTCTATATCAGTAATAAGCTAAAAGATAGAATTCCACCCCAATCGGAGACAACTACTTTGTACTGATAGAATAGGCTTTTACAGTACGTTCACTCGTACCGCAGACTGTATAGTACAGTTGTCCAGTACGACAATATACAGTAAGCAACCTCATTGCTGTATGTGATTATTACTGTAGTCTTGACTTCTTGCATTGGATATCTAAATGGAATTGATCGCCTTAATTACCTTGAATACAATCCCAGCAATTGTTGTACCGGTTTTTCTAGCTTTAGCGGCTTGAATGCCCTTTTTAGCGAACATTTCATTGCTATATCCAGTCCATCATTATAGAGAAAAGACAAATTGAAACGTCATCATTGCTCAAGTCATTTTGTAATACACAAGACATGAGCCCAAGGCGTATTTTTTTATAGCTAAATTCATGCATAAATCAATTGTAATATGTAAACTGTTTCTTTAATCATCGAATAGCACGTTTATTCTACCCTAACATTTACCGATTAACATTATCGAAGGAGAATCCTCCTTGCGGAGAATCGAGTTCAATGGACGCCATTGGTTTTTCACGGATTCTTCAACGTGAAATTGAGCAAGCGCAAACAGTACAATATGTACCGCTGTGGTGTACTGTCCATAGTACAGTACAGTACAAACTGGTTTACAGTACTGTACTGTGTACTGTACTGACCGTAGTTTACTGTAGAGGTAAAAGAAACAAAAGATAAAACCCCTACAGTACAGTATTTTATTGTACTGTACTGTACTGTATAGTACAGTATGAGAAAATGAACGCAGAATGATGAAAGAAAGGAAAATGATTGTACTGTAACTCGGAGACTGCGCTGTACTGCACTGAATCTAGTCCTGGACTGGACCGGACCAGACCAGACCATGCAGACCTCTAACCGCCGTACAGTACATAATACTACTGTACATACTGTACACTCAGTGTACAGTACTGTAGCTGTGTAGCAGTCCTCATGATTCGGTCCAGTTCAGTCCAATTACTAAGGGGACAGCGAACTGTACTGCTACTGTATGTACCGTATCATCATGGACTACTAAAAGAAGACCGTACCGCATATAATTGAATTTTGCAATAAGAAATCGAGGAGAACCGAGAGGTCCATGTCTGCGATTAGTCCATGCACTTTTTGGGGAATTCAGTAGTCTGTAATATGAGCCTTTCGGAGTAAATCGAGTGATGCATGTCCGTGATTAGTCCGTGCACTTTCCGCCTGCTTTGTACTTTTTAAATTTAGTAGTCTGAGATATGAACTATAGAAGAAATCGAAGAGAACCAAGAGGTCCATGTCTGCGATTATTAGTCCATGCACTTTTTTTGTTGAATTAAGTAGTCTGCAATATGAGCCATTAGGAGAAAATCGAGTGATGCATGTCCGTGATTAGTCCGTGCACTTTCCGCCTGCTTTGTACTTTTTAAATTTAGTAGTCTGAGATATGAACTATAGAAGAAATCCAAGAGGTCCATGTCTGCGATTAAGTCCATGCACTTTTTTTGTTGAATTAAGTAGTCTGCAATATGAGCCATTAGGAGAAAATCGAGTGATGCATGTCCGTGATTAGTCCGTGCACTTTCCGCCTGCTTTGTACTTTTTAAATTTAGTAGTCTGGGATATGAACCACTAGAAGAAAACGAAGAGAACCAAGAGGTCCATGTCTGCGATTAGTCCATGCACTTTTTTTGTTGAATTAAGTAGTCTGCAATATGAGCCATTCGGAGTAAATCGAGTGATGCATGTCCGTGATTAGTCCGTGCACTTTCCGCCTGCTTTGTACTTTTTAAATTTAGTAGTCTGGGATATGAACCACTAGAAGAAAACGTAGTGGTTCATGTCCGTGATGAGTTTATGCACTTTCTGGCTGCACTGTACTTTGATTGAAAATCAACCCCAACTTTTGACTACAATACACCGTCGAGGGCATAAAATGTCCCTGATAAAAGCCGGAAGATTTTAAGGGTGGGGGTGTTAGGACGAAAGAGAAGATGAGGAAAAGAACCTAGTATGGCAGTAAGGCAGAGATAGAATAAAGGTCAAGATTAATGGGAATCGATTCTTGTCAATGATATCGTTTGTTGTACTTTGTTTCTTTCGGGTACGACCGTTGATCAGGAATACCAGTATAATTATCCGGGAAATTTTCTGTATTGTCAATAGCTCTGATCAATATTCGGATTCGCCATGAACGCTGGTTCTGATAGTTCTGAAAGAACTATCAATAAGATTGATCGGCCAATTTTAAGAACGATCCATCATGATTGCTGGACCAGTATTTCTAATCACAGGCACTCTACGAGTAAACACTCTTGATCAAGAAGATGAATAGTATATGGGGAAATTTTCTGCAAAATTAATAGTTCTGATCAGGTTGAGACTCGTATCATACATACTGGTTCTGATAGTAATTCTTTCAGAAATGCCAATAGGATTGACCGGCCATGATTGCTTGATCATCTCGGGCTAGATCCAAATCACCATCATGGCCGTGACTGACTGATCAATTCTGAGATGATCAAGAAATCAAAATAGTAGGACGGTTAATCTTTGGGAATCCCTGAAATTCTGGGCTATTATGATCCGGTCATTCCTTGCAAATACTTATTAATCATCATCAAAGCAATATATTCGATATTGTTGTTATTGTTATGTATGAACTTACTTGAGCTAATACAATCAACCTTATGTAAGGTTCGGGTTACTCCAGATTAGTCACTGACGCAAAGAACTGAGAATACGCAAAGCTCTGTAAATTGTAATTACTACCACTAATTGATTTATTGATTGAAAATATCTTTGATGTTACCATCTTGCTTTAGTGACCTATTATCCTACAGTTTTGATTGTAGAATGCTCATTAACGCTTCTTAAATGACTACTGACCGCGTGCAACTTATAGATTTTGGATAAGGCTATAGTAAAGATTACCAATTTAAGCGTAAAACTATGCTTTATTTTAAGAAATGTTAGAATATCAAGACGTGCAGTTAGATATGGCACTTTCATGCGAAGGAAAACCAGACGAAGACTGCCCGCATTGGAATCGTACTGTTTAGCTTTATGTATGTTGTTCTAACGCAACAACATATTGAGAACAAGAACTAGGACGATGGATTACTCCCTTCCACCGGTAGTTTACCATCTATTTGATATTCCTAATTTGATACCTAATAAGCCCATTTACCGCGTTTTAGATAAATAAATAAATAGGTTAACGCCGCTGACTCCTTTGTTACCATTATTATTATCCAGCAGTTGTAATTTTACCATGAAAAGTACTCCTTGGGAAAAGCCATGGCTTACGAATCTGAAACTTAAATTTTCTCATAAAATAAGTTACTATACCTTTATGATACTAGATAATCAAAGAAATTTATGATAGTTTTTAAGTCACTTTATTTGCTTATAATTATAATTATCTTGCCTAATGACATATTCGTAAATTGGTAGATACAATTGTAGCTAAGGAGAAGGGAATACCCTTCGAACCAAATAAATTAACACCGTTATTTAAAGGGGGGACTTTTAACAAAAACTGTAATAAGAAATATAAGCCGATTCACTTTAATATAACCAGCGAAAATAAAAGGTAAAGCTTGTTGCGGTCATTACAGGTAATCTCGATTTGAACTATAGCCAAAACTTACGTATTACTGATTAATATTGGATCAATTTATAGAAAATTTTTGTTTTTTTGAAATACAGGCTACGGAAGTGATAATAAAAATTGTGTCGAATTCTGTGTTACATCCCACCATTTTACTGTTAATAAAAAGCATGACAATGCTAGAACTTTTAGTAATGCTGCCATATATCTCGGATGTGCAGAACGAGTCCATCAAGGTGTTGTACCTAACGAATTTAGGACGTGGCTATATGGAAGAGGCGCTTGGTGTCGTGGGCAGGAGGTTAAGCCTTTGGTAGTTGACATAACCAACTAATTCAGTACTAAATCTGTCAACAATATTACTTATCCTGGATACTACAATTATGTGGATCCACGTCCCGCTTACAAACCAGGAACTATTGTAATGTATTCCTATCTTACTCTTCACGATACGTACTAGTTGTAATGAAATGTGATCGTAAGCAAAATATATTTTTGTATAGCGTATTGTGTGATATTGTTATAATCATACACTATAGATACGATATTAAACTAGTCAAATTGTGCGGCACATGTACGCTGTTGGTTAAGGCATTACCATTCTGCCTATCTAAATTATGTGACTATTCTAGATTGTCGGTTAATGACATTTAATGACAGTAAATGCTTGCCTAGATAAAATACAGGTTTCCTGTGATGTAATTTATAAGTTTATAGTAATCTCCAATCCTTAATTTCTTGGGAGATTTTAATACATATTAAGCAATTTAAAGAGATAAACTAGCGCTTAGTAAGGTTCTATTTGCGATATTTTCATTTGTTGTCATCTTCCGATTTTCTCTATCTACTTTATTCTTGTGTAATTTTAAACGAATATAAAAGCTGTGTTGGTGCAATAATAAAGTGTTGACTAATATACCCAAGTGTGGTACTAATTTGTTATGAGCCCCTCAAGTTAGTTTAACTTTCACGTTAAATTGCAGATATATATTGTCATATATCGTACAGTTAAAAGTATACTAGTATCATCTAGAGGTAAGTAAGAAATTTTTGATTAGACAGTACAGTATGTTATCTCTCATGGAAGATATATCCATTGATTAACATTTTTTGGTTTCAATTTATATCATATTCTTTTATCATAATCCCATGCTACTATCTATAAAACATGTAAGGTATTGATCTACAATCAACTTATTATAGATTCATAATATGAAGCGGGCACAAATTTCCTCTATACAGATAGATGTATCGCTGTATCTACGGCGGTTTTGTATCTTAAAGAATCAATTACAGCTGAGATTACCTGAGTTTGCTGTTGTATGCGATTTAACTCTGAATAGTATCATGGTTAAATGTTCGTAACCTAGACAGTTACTAATTCATAGAATAAGTTCGATCGCTTTTCTGTTATTATAGTTATAAAATGTTGTCATTATAATTTAGCTAATCATAATTTCAAGCAAGCTCCAACATACGGGAATTCAAGGAAATTCGTAATGATGTTGTTTGATGTCATTCTTCACTCCTATCATAACTCATAATTCGTTCAAATACAACAATTTTGCAAATCACCATCAATATAACTTCATCGATTATAATTTGCCAAAATTATGTTATTCTGTATTTATATACGTAAAGTAAATATAATAGTGAACTAATGCATTTGCTAAAGATAAATTTAATAGAGAGAAAAGCTTTCAATGGAAAAGATAAATAGTTGATTTACTAAAACGAAGGATGACAGTATTTAAATGAGTTATTTCTATAAATTCAGAAATCAATTAGAATGACTACTGAAATCATCATATCCCTTAGTATATATTTCTTTAATAGGATAGTAACTCAGCGATTCGATAAATTCCTGAGAATTCACTAAAGATATTGTGCTTCTGCCCTTAACTGCCTCATAATCTATGCTCAAGATAGGAATACGACTTGTATCTATTTATCTAACCTTTTCCAAATATTTTATTTGCTTGACAATATTTAAAAAATTGCTTTAGAGAAGGATTTTAATTGATGTGAACATTGCACATATATCAGCAACCCTATCGCTAAATCAAACTTAAATAAATTAAAGTTTATTCTTACAGAAACCTTTCCAAAATAAGACCGGCATACTATGACCTTGAGTTAATTGCAATACAAATTGGTTATACGTATAGTATAAGTATCTCTAATACAATAGTTCTTATCTTAATCTGCCAATATATCCGCCTATAATTCCCTCTCCAGAACAGCGATTAATAAATGTAGTAGAAAACAAAGTAGAATTAAACAGATTGTACAGCGTTTTTCCTAGATTTCAGTGGAGCGCATCTGACTATATAGATAGTGTGATGACTTACCGCCAAATATTCTCCGCTGTATAAAAACGATAACAATATTAATTAATTTACATGTATTAATACGTTAGCTAACGAATGGCATTAGCTGTCGATTTTAGACTCTGTACTAGAAAATTATTGAAACTATTTACTAAATAAAGTAATTCACCAGCTTTCCCCTTACCCAATTTATATTTCCGCACCAAGTAGAATGACGATGGCGTGACCGGTAAGTGGTTGTTTTTGATTTATATTGACCATAAACAGTACTAATTCCACGATTAAAGAAAATGAATTATAAACAAGAAATGGAAGAATTCTCATTGGTTATATGGCTAGAATTATGCTTCAATAGCTTTGATTAACTATTTTACTTATTTAATACGGCCAATTTACTCGTAATGATAATCGTACACTTGCGCACGTAGAAATACTCACTGCAATATAGAAAATACCAATAGCGTGAACGCTACGCCAATAGCAATTGCTGGCAAAGTCCATGATGGATGCAATGGTACAACTTGATTTCCATGCCCTATAAATAGTACCAAGGAGAAAATTTAAATACGAGTCCTATACAGTAATGCATATAAACTGCTTTAATGTACAGTACAAATATACGTATATACGAATATAATATACTGCGTATGATGCTTACTGCATTTCGCGGATGCTCAACATCAATTCAGCTGATAATCAATCATTATTACTAATATTATTACTAACTGAGGCTATAAAATATTCAATCGATTAATACAATGGTTAGGGGAATAAGCCTACATTCAAAGACAATCGGTTGACTTTGGGGACCATAAATGCCTGCATCAGTCTTAGCTTGCATCTATATGTGTTGTAGGATAAAGGATTCTTTAGATCGATTGAAACGCAATGATGGATACAGAATGAAGAAGCAAAGACACACCTGTAGTATGTAAACATCCACTTTCGGGTTTGACTCCATGGAAGCATTAAATTCAAGCGTACCACCAGGTAATATATATTGATAGGTATATGGTCGGTCATCGTTGCTTAAAGAATTGCCGACTTTCTTACGAAACATTGTATAGTTTAATATCTTATCTTTTACACAATCGATAGCCATGTTATTGCAGTATTTTAATGCCATCGTAAGATTAGCTAGCATAATTGGATGGATCATTATTCGATATCCGGTAATAACACCTCTTGTATGTTTTGGTGGTTCCCATCTTACATGAACACCAAAGGCTTTATCTATTTTGACCGATATTCGTTGAGGAGGATCCGCAGGAACTAAAATTCGCGAAAGTATACAATTAATTATTTATAAAGACCATTAATAAGACTTTCATATTTTGGAAAAGTGTGATTATTTTTAGATTTGAGATTATATATAATTGTCATACTTCCAGGAGATGTTCGAATTTGCCTGATTGTACAAGAAGCTTTCTTTAATGCCATCTGATGTCCATCGTTGTTGTTAATTAGCAGCACAGGAATAACATCGATACGATAAATAGTGTAGGCTTGCACTTTTGTAAATATAATTCTGTATTGTTTTGTTATATTGCCGTGCTTTTGGACAACAGTTTGACTATGTGGTATTTCATTTTTATTTTTTACTGCTTCGAGTGAAGTAAAGGAGACATTGTATTTTATAGCAGCAGTGTTTTCGATATGAAGTCCATTAAATTCTATTTCAACCGTATTCATCGTTACACGAATATGGTTTATTTCACATTCGGGTATGCCTTTTGTAAATAGAAATTGGAATAATACATAAGGTGAGTTTATGATAGCTTCTTCATCCTCTACAAAAATTTTTTATATGAAATTCGTCCGTAATAATAGAAGATCGTCCCATCAATAGGTTAAAATTCGATCCAACTAAATGGATGTTCTTTAGATTTAATATAGCACTTCATAAAATTATTTCACTTACGGATGCATTTATCGCTTCTAGCGATACTATCATAACCACAGTAGCAGTGGGTAGTAAAATTAAGAAAATTCTGCATTCCAGTTGGGCACCTGGCACATTTATTATTTGAAACACTTGTCTTGTAATAGTTGAGCCGGCATTCTATATTACACAATTCAGATGAAAATATAAGACAGATAGAGATCGAAAACTATAATTACGACTATTATATTTTCGGACATACGCTGACAGATATTATTTTGCAGCTCATGTCCGGCTTTGCAAGCACAGGATTGTAAATTTTGTGGTTTACTCCATGTTCCATTTGGAAAGCAAGACATTATAGGTTGAACCTTGTCATCAACAAGTTGTGATTTACCAGTGCAACTGCCATTGCTGTAGGATACATTGGTGCCGGTCTGCTCTGTTGCAGCTGCTGGAAAATATACGTTGCCAATTTGTTTTGGATGACAAACTTTGTACCATACTTGTACATTTTGAATGATACTACATGAACCTTTCCCATCCAGAAATAGATACATTCCATTCATATTTTCTTGGACGGTTACAAATGCCGCAAATTTTCTATGTTGACCCAATAGTGATACTTTTCTTCCTTTTTGATCGGCAAGTAAGCTACTTTCCTTAGCATGAATTATTTCTTCTAGATCTAATGTGTCTCTTATGCGGCTATATAATTCACTTTTCTAGTATTAAATGTACGAGACCAAATTTAGTTTGTATGGTATTAGTTAACGAATAAAACTAACCTATTATAAATAATGCGCGTACATCAGTTCATATATTCGCGCGTAGATACTTGTATTTTTTAGCATCAAATACAATATAGCATTATCAAAAATTGAATAATTCTACACCTGAAAACACAAAATCTTTTCTAATCTTCGATCTGAAAAGTTGCAATTTTATAAAGTACCGGTACCTAATGCAGTAGCTTACTAGAGGCTTAACTCTTAAGGCAAGTCACGTTGAAAGATATTTTCCTAATGTTGAATAGATGTAAGATCTAACGGTTAAGAACGAACCTCACAAAATTGGTTACCGATATTTTCTTGAAATTGTAGCCCGATGAAGTAAAGAAAGCTTGTACAATTTTTTGAACGAATGGAGCAATTGCTTTTAGTCGAATACTCTATATTAACGTAGACTTTCTTTGCAACTCCAAAAGGAATATATGGAGAAATTAACCAAGCTCGTTGATGATGACCTTGATAACATATGGTGTATTTGCCGACCGTTTCGTTAAGAAATTTTGTATAAGCCCACTAGAAATATAATGTTGAAATCTTTTCTTAAAAAGTGTAATAAACCTGCAGAACTACGACCTATAATGCTACCAACTCAGTTTTTATAGCATTAATTTTGTAAATATTACAATGTATATAGAGAGAGAATCTGTTGCAGTTTCTGTAGGTCAATCAAGACTATGCTATCGATTCTATCAAATACGGCACTTTAATTCTATATGATAATCGACAGTGCCCAGTGACTTTTATGTTTGATGAATTTTTTATACTGCAAGGCTTGCAGTATCAAAATTGCGACGTAGCGATATCGGTATATGGACGTATGGTATATTGGCATAGGTATAAAATAGGTGAATCGAGTTGTTATCATAGCAAACCGCAGATTGTTATCGACTTACATTTCCGAGATGACCAGGAGGGCTTGTGCATGATTTCCACCCAGGCCAGCCCAAATTTGCTGCTTGATATTTATTCGTATCGAGTAAAAGTTCTAGACATTAAAAAATTAAACAAATTGAAATGATAAAATTATAACAGCCTTCTAGCAATATGTCCTGGTCGTATATCAATCACAACTGAGGAAAGCAGAACGCCAAGATAAGATAGTTTAATCTAATCGTTGTTAGACCAGCAGTTCTTCCGTATAATTACTAAACTGATTACTATATCGGCCAATGAATGCAATAACTTGAGTAACATCAAAGTTTACCTTTAGCAGCTAAGGTGTAAGAACTATGAACGAGCAGAAGATAGAAGAAAGCCGTAAAAGTCTTCATGCTTGACAGGAAATCAAATATGGCAGTACATCTAAGTTTTATAATGCTATAAATTACGGATTCAGTCCGAATTAAAATAAGCTATTTTTAGGTTATTTTAAACCCGCTTTTGTTACCGAATTGGTCACCATGCGTTATTTTAATGGCTCTGAAAGTATTTATGACGTAACATGCTAAATAACATATTGATCTATTCCTCTGATGAATTACAATTAGGGTAATGCAATTAGGTTTTGTAAATTAGATTCAATTTCATAGTTTTCGTATTCTATCGGCTACCATTATGATAGAATTTGAGTAGACCACTACAGCTGCAACGGTTCAATATTTAGAAACTTGATTTATCGTTGACGGCACAGTTATTGATCGACAAAGAGGAAAGCGCATCGCGTCTATGGTATACGCGAACGTAAGCGTATATTATTCTAGGCTACATGACATATCTAGCGATGAATATTTACTACAATTTAGTTTGCAATAACTTATGAATAAACTAAAAATTATGTAGGTTAGGTTTCTTTTCGATTGAATTATTATTCGTTTAATTTTGTACAGCCATTATAAGGCAATAATGAACAGTGCAAAGGGGAAGTAACGATATGTTATGTTGTCATATCTTTATTTTCCTGTCAAGGGCTGTTGATGTACGTAATTGACGTTCGGAGAACTTTATTATGGGTAAACTTATCAAATGCGTTCGAATATCGCATGTCGTAATGAATACTCTCTAAGTTAAATAATATTCGCATGTAACAATTAGTTCAATTATATTCGTATAAATCAATTTATGCTTATCTATATAAGACAGTAATGAAAATAATACTGGCGCATGGCGCTAGAATACTATCGATAATAGCTAAAGAACTTAAATGGAAGCGCAAGGCTGATATTATTACCGCATTATCCATTAGTCTAGACTATTTGTAAGTGCATTTGCACTAAAATGGATAGAGGGTGCCGCATACTCAGTATAGCTCAAAGAAGCAGAGATGGATAAGTATGCTTATTATCTCATAGTGCCATACGAGTATAAAGCATGATAGGAATAAGGTCCGTGAGCTACTTCTGTCTGTTTCTCAATTTTCTTCACATATGAAGTTGTTCTCTAAACAAATTGCCTATCTACTGAGTCGCACCTCTTCCCATAGTTTAGGTCTAGCCTGCAGTTAGGAGCTATCGATACTCATTGCATAGCGCAGAGAGTAAGATCGAGCAAAGCGAGTGATGGCGGAGAGGTTTATAAAGAGTGTTCTATATATACAGTCAGAAATATTAAGATCTAAATGGAGATAGTGTCCCTGTGGCTAATTGAGTTAATGTTTTAGAAGTCTAGTAACTACGTAGTAACACCATGGCGCGATTACTCATGGAGTATACAAAAGAGGGGTATTCATTTTCGTCTTGAGTAAAGTTTAAATAGGAAATTTAAAATATATTTTGGACAATTATATTTGTGACTATTTATATGCCTGTAATTACATCAACAAAGCCTCAATTTGTAGACTATGCACATAAAAAGCAATTTACGCAACAGTTTTGAGCAATAAAGTTGATATTTCTGCTTACTGATTATACAGTATACTTTTTGTAAAGAAAGACTAAGATATATTTCTCTCTAACCTAGTGAATTCGTTTTGAAACGTGCCTATATGAGAATTGAAATGCAAGACGTTACACAATTTTAAAATTAAAATTTATAACATAAATTTGAAGTTGCTTAAAGTTAACTAAAGGTGAATTGCAGATGATGATTACGACTCCAAGACGACTTGATTAATCATAATTGATTGATTGATTGATTATTTATTTATTGAAGGGCACGCTCCAAATCAGGGATAGCTTGACTTCAATCATAATGGATAGGGTACCTCTCGAATAGATACTCTAACCCACACAGAACTTTAATGAAGTATTCAAAAAGCATGTTATAAAATCAGATCTAGCATCTCTCGAATAGCTACTCTAAACACTCGCATACCGCTTTCATTCCAGCCACTACAAGTACTGGTCGAACTAGAGATACTCGGAGTGCCATATACGATAGTTGTGCTTAATAGCTTAGCAAAGTGTATACCATAAATCACGCATCCCTGATTTCAATCATGTTATAAAATCAGATCATGCACCTCTCGAATAGCTACTCTAAACACTCGCATACCGCTTTCATTCCAGTCATTGCAATTACTGGTCGAATCCCTCTCCTCTCTAGTGATACTTGGAGTGCCAAATCCGATACTTGATATAGCTTACAATCTTCAAAGTGTATGCTATAAATCACGCATTCCTTGACTTTAATCATGTTCTAAAATCAGATCTAGCACCTACTCTAAACACTCGCATACCGCTTTCATTCCAGTCATTACAATTATTGATCGAATCCCTCTCCTCCCTAGTGATACTTGGAGTGGCATACAAGATACTTGTGCTTAATAGCTTACAATCTTCAAAATATATGCTAGAAATCACGCATCCCTTGATTTCAATCATGTTTTAAAATCAGTCATGACTTAAAATCAGATCATGCACCTCTGGAATAGCTACTCTAGACACTCGCATACCGCTTTCATTCCAGTCATTACAAGTACCGGTCGAACCCCTCTCCTCCCTAGTGATACTCGGAGTGGCATATACGATACTTGTGCTTAATAGCTTACAATCTTCAAAGTGTAAGCTAGAAATCATGCATCCTTCGACTTCAATCAGAATGATTATTTTATATTTCGATGAGTACTAGCAAACAATTAACGGTATTATTTTTGGGCAGTGTAACATTATGATCTTATATAGAAGATGCCTAGTATAGTAATATCCTAATATACGAATGCTTATCATATACCATTTAAGTACTGATTTGCATTACATTTATAATGTACGACATCATGACGACATATAGACGACATTATCTCAATCTCATCCAAAACCTATAAATACCCTTGCAAGCTAACTCGTTAGTCAGTTCCTACGTTCCTGCTATCTCAAATACCTTATTTATAACAATCATATCATTGTTAGCCTATAACTTGTATCTCAATAAAATCCTTTATACCTGCTATCATCGTCTACCTTAAAATACTCTACGCTACTTAAAGAAGAATTATTACAGACAGTGTTGCCTTAACCTATGGTAGCGGGCCATTAGTCTAGTTTGTGTTCTTTATTTTACATTAGCCTAGGTGTTCTACTTTGCCGGGAAAGTAGCCGGCTCGCGGTAGCGGATTCAAAGTCAACAAACTAGAGTACCCAATACAAGTACTACACTTCGACATACGTTACCAATAAAGGGACAGCAACAATTAACAGTATTATTTTTGGACAGTGCTGCCTTAACCTACGATAGCGGGCCATTAATCTCGTTTGTGTTCTTTATTGCACATTAGCCTAGGTGTTCTACTTTGCCGGGAAAGTAGCCGGCTCGCGGTAGCGGATTCAAAGTCAACAAACCAGAGTACCCGATACAAGTACTACACTTAGACATACGTTACCAATAAAGGGACAGCAACAATGAACAGTATTATTTTTGGACAGTGCTGCCTTAACCTACGATAGCGGGCCATTAATCTCGTTTGTGTTCTTTATTTCACATTAGCCTAGGTGTTCTACTTTGCCGGGAAAGTGCAAGGCTCGCGGTAGCGGATTCAAAGTCAACAAACTAGAGTAACCAATACAAGTACCACACTTAGACATACGTTACCAATAAAGGGACAGCAACAATGAACAGTATTATTTTTGGACAGTGCTGCCTTAACCTACGATAGCGGGCCATTAATCTCGTTTGTGTTCTTTATTTCACATTAGCCTAGGTGTTCTACTTTGCCGGGAAAGTGCAAGGCTCGCGGTAGCAGATTCAAAGTCAACAAACTAGAGTAACCAATACAAGTACCACACTTAGACATACGTTATCAATAAAGGGACAGCAACAATGAACAGTATTATTTTTGGACAGTGCTGCCTTAACCTACGATAGCGGGCCATTAATCTCGTTTATGTTCTTTATTTCACATTAGCCTAGGTGTTCTACTTTGCCGGGAAAGTGCAAGGCTCGCGGTAGCGGATTCAAAGTCAACAAACTAGAGTACCCAATACGAGTACTACACTTGGACATACGTTACCAACACAGGGGTAAAAGGTAAAATGGGTTCAACTACCATACAGTACCGTATGTTCAACTGGGGACTAGTCCACGATTTTGGGGGGTTTTTATTCCTCTTGTGTAAGCCAAGTGTTATCAAGTCTTGTTTGAGCCATCGTACGAGCAGAACGAGGTCGTTGAATGACGCATGCGCATTTCAGCTCGTCCACTCCATAATACAGTAATCGGAATCGACTGCTGTCCGTAAATTGACGCACAGTACAGTACACTGTCGACTACAGTACACTATACTGTAGTGTACAGTACAAAAAGAAACACTGTCACTTTCATCTCTGTCCAAGGGCTGTAAGCCATTTCGGCCATTTTCTCCCCATTGACAGCCATTCCTTTTTTTTATTAATAAAAGCTTAATCTAAAAACGAAATTGCCATTGGATGGTGGAATATTGTTGACGAGTGCGATATCAATTTATTTTCTAAAGGTCAATCCAATTTTTCGTTAGGGATCCTATCGTAATACGAAAATTAGCTTGATCATGTTTTCAGCCATTGCAAGTTACTTTCAAGATCGTCCACTTTTGAAGGTATCGACTATTGCTGCTCCGGTGCTCTTAGCACATCAATGGTGCCAGTCTTCGTGCTTGTCTTTAACTTGTTTAGGTTTCTCGTTGTATATTTTTACTGGTGGTTGGAAGACATTATGGATTGCATATATGACAATAGGAAGAGACGCAAGGTAAGCTTTGCCAACACTTCTCCAACCGAGATTCGGACAGTGTTTTAGTCTACATCCTATTGACCTCTTTCAAAACTTTCACTCCTTGACTCATGGAGAAATTTTTTTTGCTATTCCTCTACGTTGACGACGATCATCTAATTTTTTTTTTTTGCAATAAAAGTGACGTAAGTGTGGCCAATTTGTCCATATACCTTTTGACTGGACATTGTCCATTAAATTGAATTAATCATATCATTTTTATTGATAACTGTAAAACGCCGCAAAGTATCAAAAGATTCTTTTCATGATAGTTTATTAGTGATACCAGTAAAAAATTTCTTTATCTCATGATGAAATTCATCACTTTTGTACACCTAGAAACATTCAACAATATCGACAATATGGCATTAAAAGCATTGTATTGTAAACTCTGTAAGTGATCGGTTAATTTTGCTTCCCTTATTAGCTGTGATACTTGGCTCCCATTTCTGCTTAATTAATTAATTAATAAATATACCGTAATTAAAGTATTCGTGGGTTATTACATACTTTTTATAGATGGTTTAGTAAACATGGACAATACTGTAAACATAATTGGTTGAGTCAGCCGTGATCTTGCAGCACTGTTATAAACCAGATTGATTTGCAGATGATAACGATCCCAAAATGAGTTTGTTTTACAAATTGCCTTGACTATACTCAGTTGGTAAAATAGACTTTCTTAACTGGTTAAATGTATTGAGGATATAGGGCAAGCTACTGATGAATCAAGATTTGGCTTCATTTGTAGCCATGCCAGATATCATCGTCGACCTATTTACTTTTTAGCTTTGCAGCTTTACCGCTTTCAATGAATTTACTTGAAGATTGAATCCATTAAGATCTAAACTTCACTTATAACGCGTGATCTAAGTCATATTAAGGCATCTTGTACCACAAATGAGATATGTATTCTTAAAATATCTCTTTATGATGAACTAAATTTCTTCAATATCTCTAAAACGTCGTTAATTTCTTCTCAATTATAATTATTGAATTAACAGGAATTATTATACCGGTAATTATAATATCGTATAATTCTTTTCGTATAGGGGGTTGTCATTTGTTATTCGCGGTCGCAGGAGAATACGTCAACTACGAGACAAGCATGCTATTATAGCAGATGTCTTTTTGGAGAACGTCAGAAAAGATCCTAACAGGATTGCCTTCTATTACGAAGACCGTAGCTACACGTTTCAAGAAGCTGAAGATATGACCAACCAAGTTGCCCGATTCTTCAATAAGGTATTCAAAATTCAATTGAACCTATTATATTCATATTGATAATGATCATTTTATATCCATATGGCTATTTCAACAACTATCGTAACGACATTAGAATATGGGATTAATAGCTTATCAGTTGTAATTGCAGTACTACTAGAATGGCGTCTAATGACGACTTCTAAGTAGGAAAGTAAACATGTATCTAGTAGAGTGCATAGTATAAACGTATGATGAAAGATGACTCTCTTTGACCAAGTTTGTAGCATTTTTTATAATTAACCTTTAGATGATCTTCATTTCACATTCTTATTCTTTATATTGGTATAACCAATTTCAGCTAGGTTATAAGAAGGGTGATGTTGTTGCATTATATATGGAATCGTGCCCAGAATTTGTCATGATTTGGTTAGGTTTATCCAAATTGGGCGTTGTAACAGCTTTACTGAATCATAATTTACGTGCAAAGTCTTTGGCCCACTGTGTTAACGTTTCTCAATGCAGAGCTGTCATCTTTAGTGGCGACTTAGTTGATGCTATTGTTGAGATTCGTGATGAATTAGATTCGGAAATGGCTTATTTTAGTTACCGTGAGCCAACAGCAATGGACAATATACCACAATACCAGGAGCTAACTACTGCATTTAATGGCTGTTCAAAAGAACCCTTGAGAGTCGAATATGACAGACAGTTTACTGGTAAAATATTCTCTATTGTAGCAAGATAGTACGTTTATAATATAACTAATAGATTTATAATTACCTATGGATTAATCTCTTTGTGTTTTACATTCTTAAATTTTATTAGATCGATTGATATATATTTATACATCTGGCACTACTGGCTTGCCGAAAGCATCTGTTATTTCAAATAGCAGGTAAGCCACTAGCGAATTATTGATATCTAACTATATATGCATAGCATACGCGAATTAAGGGATCACTTATGATGGAGAATTTATAATTTACATTTGCAATGACCCTGTGTAGGTATTTCTTTGCTACTACTGGCGTAGCTAGTCTGTTAAATATTGACAGTAAAGATACTGTATACTGTGCACTGCCAATATACCATTCTGCCGGTGGAATGTTAGGCGTTGGTAGCTGCCTAATACATGGTGCCAGTTTGGCAATTCGCAAGAAATTTTCTGCCAGTCGATTTTGGGATGATTGCATTAAATATAACTGCACGGTAAGAGACGTGCTTTTGCCATTTTGTGAAATAGTTCTGAGAATTTCTTTACAGTAAAAATTGATATGACGATTGTCTATCATCACGATAGGTTATACAGTATATAGGAGAAACTTGCCGTTACCTTCTTGCTCAGCCAGAGAAGCCGGTAGACAAACGTCATAAAGTTCGACTTGCTTTTGGAAATGGTTTAAGACGGAACATATGGCACGAATTTAAAGATCGATTTCAAATTGAGCAAATTGGAGAATTTTATGGATCAACTGAGGGCAATGCAAACTTGATAAACATAGATAATACTCCTTTTTCCGTAGGTTTTAACTCCGCATTAATTCCATGGGTTTATCCAGTACAATTAGTTAAAGTTGATAAAGCTACTGGTAAACCAATTCGAGGTAGCAACGGCCTGTGCATTATGTGTAAACCAGGTGAACCAGGCGAACTTATGGGTCGGATTGTTCAGAAAGATTTATCACGCCATTTTGACGGATATGTTAACCAAGAAGCGACGAATAAGAAAATTGTTCGAGATGTGATGCGTAAAGGAGACTCATTTTTTGCAACTGGAGATATTTTAGTAAAGAATGAGCTTGGATATACTTTCTTTCTTGATCGAACCGGCGATACTTATAGATGGAAAGGAGAAAACGTTTCAACTACTGAAGTAGAATCGACCATTTTATCAGTTGTTGGCTTTCGAGATGTAGCTGTTTATGGCGTTGAAGTTGGCAATTTAGAAGGAAAGGCTGGCATGGCAGCTGTTTCAGATCCTAATAATGATCTTGATATGGAACATTTAAATCAAAGTCTAAAAAAGTCATTACCACCATACGCTAGGCCCCTTTTTATTAGGTTACTGCTTGCAATCGACCAGACATCGACATTTAAACTAGCAAAGACAAGATTGAAAGCTGAAGGGTTTGATCCCAGTAAGGTTGATTCTGATAAATTATTCTATTTCAATAGTAGTGTAGGTCATTACCAAACTTTAGACGGAGAAATATATAAGGCTATTCAATCAGGTTCGATCCGATTTTAGTGAGTATCATGAAAGATGATGAGATAACTACGATTATCTTTATCTTTGTATGTATAAATGTATGCTTGCAAGGTTAAGTTGCGTTTTTAGTATTGGTGGTAAATATCTTACCGCTTCCAGTCCTTTATTGTTATGCTATCGAAACTGCTACTCTGGTAATTTATTCACTGTCGAATGATTTTTCGAATCTCTAATTCTGTTTATCGAGTAGCAAGTGTGATGACTGGATATTCCCAAGTGTAGCCTGTACTAGTGATAATCTGAATTTAATATGATAAACATGCAGTACTGCTATTTGACAATTAATCTGGTCAAAAAAATATTTTTTAAAATCATTCGTACAGTACCACTTAATTGTCAGTAACTTAAGCAAATTCTGTTTAGGGAACGTTTCTTTATAGACTTTATTAAAGTCATTGTATGTACACGAATCATTTATGTCTGTTATTAGCGGATCGACTTTAATATGGTTGTTTTAGATGAGTAAAATGCCAAGGAATGTGAGCTTGCACAAGCTCTTATTAGCTCAGTAAGGTTGCAGCTGAGAAAATTGTACTACGCAGAAATACTGCAGGGGTTTTACAATTTAGATTTTATGAAAATTTATAGCCTTGTAGTATAAAGACATCCTATTGACATGCAAAACATGCACCACATGCTGGCTTGAGAGTGGAAATAAAATAGATCAAAAATGTGACTTATTTTTTAAATCTTTATTCTAATAATTCCTACGTGCACTTATGTAATAGGTAACTTGTTCATAATTTATACTTATGTAATGATGGCAGTTAAGAGAGTTTCATAAATATGTAGAGTGAAGCGTGATATCGCAGTAATTTCATTTCTTTTATCGTTTGCACGATTTGAGGACAGAGTAACGAGGTCGTCGAATAGTTTAGCTCGGTATATGCATCTACTAGTAGGCAGGAATTAAATTAATGAGAATACTTCGATAAGTCCCTTCTTTCTTAATGCAATATAATTTTTATTTCACTTTGAATGGATTACCATTGCCACATCATTTCCGTACAGCAATCAATGATTAGCAAATACACAGATTTGAAAATTACTGTATAAGCTGAATACTTTAAGGCTATTACGTTTCATCAATGATTGATTTCATCTATAGTTTTATGCTGCCCAATGCATTACAGTGCACATTATTTGCATCCTAGGTTGTAGTGATACAGAGTATAATACCGTATATTTATATTTACAAGTTACCGTTGCTAGCTAAAGACTTTGTAGTCTTATTTCATTCTTAGATTGATTTACAACAAGGCCTAATTTAGATATTTAAATTACAATGTCATTCTCACTGCCAAATCTATAGGAAAATGTAGACTCATCTAAAGGAACAGATTTTACACTTGCGAGTAATTGTACTCGGGGTTAAACAGTACAACAATCTGACAATAGCGATTATTGTAAGTTTTCTATCAATCGCCTGAGGTCAATATTTTTCAGCTATCGTTATAATTACATTGACATGTAACTACATCGAACATCTATTGAGCGCCACCAAAACTTAGTTCTTGATTGACTACCATCTACTATTTACCCACGATGTCAAATAAATATATCTATTATAATTAGAATGTAATAATTAACATGGCATCAAATGAACTTGTTGAATACCAGTCAAGTTAACACCCAATATGTAGCATTGTAATTATGCTAATTCGATCGATTAAAATAATAATGTTGCCATGGATTGCCAAGCATGGAATAAAGAATACAGGACAATTGTTACCACGTTACAATATCAGTAAATCATTTGGCTGTTGTTATGGTGCTTCGGAATGTGATAAAAGTAATACTACGTCAGAGTAAATTATTCAATAACCAAATCATGCATGTCTTCCTGTATGTACGTACATGAGAATTAAGAAAGGTCCGGTTTTAAAATTAGTATTGAATATCGATTAATATAAATGTATAGACTATTATCTAACCCCATAATAGATAAACTGTTCGTTAAGAATGATAGTGCATGCTGCAACAGTGCAGAATTAGTCGTCGACACCAAGATATAGAAGGTCCTAATTATCCTGATTACGCTATATTCATACTAGTAGTAGTTATTGTTAAAACCGCAGAGTTTGCTTGTGTACCTACATTAGTTAAAGTTATACCTTTAAGCAACTAACTTGCGGCAAGTTGGACCATCAAAATTGCTCATTTTTAATTGGAGATATCTGATCTCTGTTGATATTTGACACTCTGCAATATTACTATTTTCACGCCAACCACGAATTTTCATTAGCCAAATTTTATTAGTAACGTTATCTTATCCTGAAAAAAATTTTCAAAGTCTCCTTGGTCGAAAAATTTTACTGTAGTCGCTCAAGACGAGTTAATCCCATCGATATTGACAGATATAAACTGCCCAGAGTGATGATTAATCTTTTTTACTGAAAATTAATATAGAGGATTGTGACAGTGTTGGAAAATATAAACTCATTTTCTATCAAATTATTGCTATGGGGTGCGGATCGTCAACTGCCGCAAAAATATCAGAAATTAAAGATAATCATCTAGGAAACCAAGAGAATGGTAAGTAAAATAGGCGACATGAAGTAAAAGTCATAACTAGATAGTTAACGACGTCAGAAATCGATGGCAAGTTATTAGCAGCTACCTTTAAAATAAAGTAGTTTAGGACATGACGACGTTTAGTCAATTTATACAGTAATAGCACAAGTGTTTATACGCTATTGTACTCTATAGAAGTTTCAAGAAAGTTTCGAAAATAAAGTAGGAAATATTATATCTACCATATTACGGAAGAGGCACGATCAAGCGCGAGAAGCTTTAGTGCATTCAAGAATTACGGAATGGCATCATTAATCAGTGTTAGAAATCAATTATACCCACTGGACTTACTTCATCATCGTTATATGCTTATTTTCATATTAATGAGAATATTAAATTTTAATTACCGGTGCTTTATTACTTACTGTACTGTGCTTATTGTCCTTTATGATAGAATAGATGAAAAAATTTCCTTTTTCTTACCATTTTATATCTATTCTAATTTAGGTAAAATACCACTTGATGATTCTGGCGGGATAGATGATAGAGGTTCACGAATAAGTGAAAACGTCAATGGTGACAGTGTGTCTATCAGAACGAATATAACTAATAAATCACGGAATAATAGCTTACTGCCTAATGTAGTGGTTGTAGATGATGGCAATTCTCGAGTAGATGCGAGGAAAAGAAGACGTAGGGCGCTTAAAGAAAGACAGAGAAGAGCATCTAAGACAGCACAGATGATTAGCAGTGCCAAGTTGGAACAAAGAATGTCTGTGACTGGTTCTAGGAGTTCCTCGAAGTTATCGTCGACAGCAACATCACCAGATATGAGACTGTCGATTAAAGAAGATATAGAAAATAGTCAAGAAACGAAGGAAGAGAATATCGATGGTTAGTTTTGACTAGAATAATAAAATAGAGAATCGTTGGGAAAAAGTGTTGTCTAAGCTGATAACGATAGATAGTTATTCGGCAATATGAATTTCTTTAGATATTTTCATAGAATAATATCTTTAACGCTGTAGTGGTTTGATAAACGATTTTATTGATATTGCTATATCGTGAGGTTTAATGTATCGTGAATGCTAAAAAAACTTTAGGCGATGACGTACAGGAGCAATCTGGGTTAAAACAAGAAGAAAACGGAAGTAATCAGTCGTCAGAGGGTATTAAATTTAAAGTTGATGATAATGAAGAGAAGGTAAAAGCTAACGAAAACGACGTTAATAATTCCAATGAGAATGATCAGTCGGTGGAAAATATGAATGGTGATGATAATAACGAGAGCTCGAAGATTAATGAAAACGAGCTTGATCATTCTAATGGTCAATCATCAGAGAATATAAAAGAGAGTAAAGGCGACGAAAATGAAGAAAAGTTAAATACTGATGAAAATAAAGTCAGCAATGCTGATGAAAATGGACAGTCATCGGAAAATACTAATATTAACGAAAGCGAAGAGAATGTAAAAACAAATGAAAATGAAGGAAATAATTCCGACGAAAAAATTGATCCAGCTTATAAGGAAACTACTAGTCCTGACAACGCTAAAATAGAAGATAAAATAAATCAGGATGAAACTGACGGCACAAATAATAATAATAAGGAATCTGCCGATACTACTAGCAAGGGCGATAATGATAATAATCAACAAGATCCAACTGAAAAAAGTAAAGAGATGCCTGCTCAAGGAAGTAATCAACAGGAAAATAAAGAGGATAGTCATGGTAATTTAAGGCCAGCAGAAGAATCTCACAATGGCGATAGTACTAAAGAAGGGCAGAATGTAGAAACAAATACAGAAAAAATTAACCCTGAAGTGAATAAGTCATCGACAGAAAATGGAACGGAAAGCTCTGGGGAACCCACGAGTGATAGTAAAAATTTAAGTACACAAGACAAAAATACGGAAAATCAGGATGCAAATACTAAAACTGGAAAAGTTCAAAATGATGTTACCCAGGGTACAACTGAAGAAAAAGAAAATACGAATTCTGTTAAAGGAAACACAGACAAGCTGGGAAAGAAAAAAGAGTCTAAGAAATTGAAAAATATCAATAAGGAAGGTGCAAACATCCAAGGTAGTTAACACAGCAATAGCCTTGTCAAGAAAAGATACTAAAGTGCCTTAATGTCTTATTGGGACATTCAACGTGCTCATATAAAATTGATGAAGATAACTATAGGCATGGCCTAATATGTACTGGTGCTTGTTGAAACGCTATTTCTTATAAAGAAAATTTAGAAACCAAATACGAAATTAAGCTTATTGCTGCCACAAAACTGCTGTACGATGGAGAAATATTATCACTCTGATAATTTCATTTTTTTATGTCCTGATCCCAACTTGAAAGGCTTCTACTTTCGGATTACTTTCGGGTTATTCAGTTTGTAAACTGAATGATTTGGGTGTCAGTTTAAAATTATTCTTTAAACTTTAAAATTTGAAAAACTTTATGACT